AAAACCAAAAAATTGAAAAAAATACTTTATAAATGTACCAAAAAACGTTTTTAAAATAAATACAATAAGTAGACTTCTAATACAGACTTCAAACGTAGACTACACAACGAAGTCTACTTTGATAAGCTAAGTAGCTTAAAAATCGAAACTTCTGATTCAACAATAAATATCGAATGAAATGAAATAAAATTCACTGGGTAGTTCAATCACTTACTAAGAAGCAATTCTAATCCAAAAAATTAAAAAAATACTTTATAAATTTGCCTAAAACGCGTTTTAAAAAAAACTGCAATAAGTAGACTTCTAAAGCAGACTTCAAACGTAGACTGAAGGAGAAGTCTACTTTTTAATAGTGAAGTCTACTAAAGAAGTCTACGGTTATTTTTGCAATTGACCAATCCGTTGACTTTTCCTTCTGTAGACTTCAGAAGTAGACTTCCGGCCAAAAAGGTTACTTTAGCATTTGACCAAGCCATTGACTAAAAAAATAGACTTCTATTGTAGACTTCTATTGTAGACTTCATGTAAGAGTAGACTTCTCTGACAGTCTACTTTTGAAGTCTACTTTTTCAATAGAAGTCTACGGAAAAAATAGGTTAGTTTTGCAATTGACTATCTTTAGTAGACTTCATTGTGAAGTCTACTCAAAAAAGATTCCTTCTAAGTTTGACCAAAAAATATAAGTAGACTTCCCAAAGAAGTCTACAGTTTTTAGACTTCTTTCTTAAGTCTACTGCAGCTTTCCGGAGTTTTCTGAATTTTTTATTTTTTAAAAAACTTTAGTCAAACACTAAAATGACCTATACGTTTTTGGTCAAACTACAAAAGTAACTTAAAAGTAGACTTCTTGTGCAGACGTAAACAGTAGACTTTAGAAAGAAGTCTACATTAAAAAGTCAAAATACGGTCAACTACAAAAATAACCTCTTTTCTTTCGTAGACTTCTTAAGCCTTCAAATGAAGTCTACTATGCTTTTTTTTTGTTTTCAAAGGATATCGAGTAGACTTCTCGTGAGGTTTAATGAAGTCTACTTTTAAAAAATCAATTGCAAAAATAACCTTATGTTGACTAGTAGACTTCAATATACTTCACGAGAAGTCTACTTTCGCGATATGAAAACTGAAATATGGAGAAATTGAAGTGTGACGATTACCTTTAACAAAATTGAGCTCGGCTACAGTTCTTTTAAGCATCCAGAACTCAGGATTTCACCAAAAATAAGCAATCCAGATGTCAAGTAACCAGAAATCACCGAAAATGCATGAATTTTGGCATTGTAACTTAGCCTAGATGTTTTGGAGAAGAAATTATGAAAGAATAAGGAAGGTTATGAGTGAATGAGCTCAAATATTTACTTATTACAGCTTTAAAATTGGTTGAGAAGCATTTATTCCATTTTCATGGTTGTTCATGGTGGTTGAAGAAATTGAAGAAGATGGCATTCTCGTAATTAAAAGGTCTTTAGAAGGTCCAAGGAGACTTTAGCCAAATTAAAGAAAAATCGAAATAATAGATGTATAATGGCATTTTCGTTAATTGTTTAAGTGAGAATGATAAAATTGTGAGAAAATGGCAAAAGTTCGAGAGAGAAAATAAAGAGATTAGTTTGGTGTTTGACTTTGAAATATGGGTTAAATCTGAAACTCTTCCTAAAAAGTATGGTGGATTTGTAGAGATTGTGAGATTGGTCAAACTGATTGATATGGGATAACTTGGAAATGTCTTTAGCAGGTCATTGGAAAACATCCTAAAGAACATCTGAAATTCTTTTAAATGGTCATATGAAGATTTTTAGTTATATTTAAAAAAAATATTAAACTTTTGAACACTTCACTTGTCGTATAAGGATTTACAAAAAAAAATTCTTGTTTTATTATATTTATATTAGGAATTTGGGTTGAATTACCAACAATTATTTATAATACGTAGTCCATGTAATTAAAATTTGGAAGTATGCATAAAATTTAACCAAAAAAAAAGTTTATTGCATAAAACCATGTGCGGGTTTTGACTTCTTACAAGTTATGCCAAACTATTTAATTATTAAAAAATTATATGAAACGTTTTTTTCTTTTTACATTTGCCAAAAAATGCTTATTTTCTATTATTATTTTACAAAGATACATTAAAAATGACAATAATTTACAATTGTGTTATGCTAAGGTGTCAAGCTCAGAGAACTTTTCAGAGTTATATTAAAAGTGGTCTTTAACTACTAAAATAGTTACAATTCTGCCATTTTAAACCATAGCAACCGTTTACATTATCATATCTTATAATTTAATATATTATCTTATGTCATGTATGCTTTACAAGTGTCAGACTAATATGTAATTATAAGAAATATTCTCAAAACACATATAAAAAAAATACTTGATTTACTAGAGTAATTATATCATTTGCGATTAGCATTAATTTGGTTAAAAATTAATTTATATCAATTATATCTTTAATTTGTAAATATATTATTTATCTTTCTATTTCTTTACAACATATTTACAAAAAATTAGTACATAATATTACTTAGGTTACTAAACACTATATTTCTTTCTCTTCTTTATATCATATTTCTTTGATTTTAATTTTGTTAAAAAAAATCACATTATTCATTTAATAAAAAAAATCTAATATTTTTTATGTATATTATAATTAATTTTTTTAATTAAAATTTAAATATCTTAATCTGATGTTGAACCGGCTAGATAGAATGTATTAATCCAATTTAGTATATTCAAATGTACAATTTTATTCATATAAAAATACTATTAAAGTTAATTATAAAACTAACAATTATCTAGCACTTATGCAATCATACTACAAAATAATTGTAATTGTAATTATTATTTTTAATTGTATAATCAGTGCATAATTTGTAATAATAAATATCAGTTAATATTTTTAATTATATATATATATATTACATTTGTATATTTGAATAAAAAAAATTGTGATTAATATTTATCCCGCACATGGTGCGGATAATCACCTAGTTATTGGTTTAAAGTGCAACAACATTAATTAGAAATACTAGGAACTGTCCGCGCTACGCGCGGTTTTATTCCGGAATTCTATTTCAATATGTAGTAACATAGTACTCATTCCTGAGATTTTAATATGTAGTAACATGGTTTTCCTTCCGGTTCAATTTGTTAGATGTTTTACAAAAAGTACAAAAATTAAAAAAATTAGTTTTTTTTTTCAAAAAATATCATTTAATGTTATAATTAAATAAAATTAAACCAATAACAAATATTATCAAATAATATACTTGGTAATACATTATTAAATAAATTTAAAACTACATTGAAATATAAGAACATCTAATATTTTGAAACAATTTTTTTTTATAAAACTGCAATCATAGTAAAACAGAAAGAGTATATTTTACTAAACCCAAAAACAATTTACATTTTAGTGGTTTTCTAATTTTAACACTGTCAATTGTTATATGTAATAAATAATTAAAGAATTTACAGTGTCAATGATCCAGTAATTTTGTTATAATATTCACATGTTACTTCAATGTTGTTGTAAACACTTCTTGTACAATCAAACTCATGTCTTTTTGTTGGTTTTTTTTTCTTATTTCTTTTCTTTCTTTTTTACACATAAGAAAGGAATCCTTCCTCACATTCTAACTAACACCTTCGAGGTATGGCAAAAATATCAAGCCTTTCTTAAAGTTCTTTATTTATTTTTGGTCATTTCTTCCTCATATACCCACAACCTCTTTAATCGTAATCTACCCATGTCATGTGCCATACAGCCTCAAGCACTCTCTCTGAATTAACCTGGTGTCCATATAGTTAATTTCAGTTTTATGCCAATAATAACTAATTTGTTTTCGTGTTAATATGGTCGATGATATAATAATCTTTCACAATGCTTTCCATTCTTTGTCGTCTTTAGTCTTTAACATCTTTAATCTTTGAGGTTGTCATCCTTCGATGTGTGGACAAAAAGTTCATTCCATCCTCCATCTCTCTGATTTTTTCTTTTAAAATGATTCACCATAAAACTACTAATCATCCTCCATACTTCCTACGCAATCTGATCACTCGAGTCGGCTACTCAAGCTCTTGTTTCACCCTCTGTTCGCTCTAGTTATGCAAGCACAAGATTGAACTCCCTTTGAATTTGTTTTTGCTTTTGTTCACTGCAGTTAGTTTTTAAATAGAAAAATCAGAGCCCCTGCAGGATTCCAAATCTATGTTTTTCCCAATACAGCCATGTTGTTTAAATGTACACTTCAAATACTCCTACCATTACTTTTTTTTTTTTTTAACACAGCCATACCAAAAAGAGAGATAAGAACAATGAACGTGTAAACTTGTAACTAGATTTCATGTATGGTCTTACCAAAACTGTTTAAGAGAAATTACCACAATCAGTCTCTTCACAATGTTGTGAGCAAAAGACAATGTTTCATTTGTTACACTTGCGAGTATAGTAATGAGCAGAGTTTCACTCAGAAGATTAGAACAGCGTACAACTTCCATGGGTGTTTAAACCAACTCTAAAAGCGGCTTTCTCGCTGCATTTTGGAGAGACTGATTGTGGTTCCTCATCGTTATCATTCCAACCAAACTTAAATACAATGCAAACAAAACGACAAAAGGTAGAATTTTAGGTGTTAGAACATGGACTGCATTGATTTATGTAATTGCATGTATTACAAAGAAAATCAGTGAATCACTTACACCATTGTTGCTATCAACCTTAACTAAAAGTAAAACGTGCGGGCTAAGTGAAAAAAAGTAGAGAAAAAGACTGAAAGAGACCTTAATTTGGTAGAGATGGTCGTTTACACCTTTTGTATCATTATCTTTTACGCAACTGTAAACATTCATCTTTGCATTAGCTCAATGTGGACATTTGTACACAATTCAATAAAAAAACAATATATATAGACAAAATGAGACATTAGTTTACTGCAGCTATTAGATCAGAGTTACCTTTAACTCCACTAAATTAAACTATTCTATACATGGGTCATTATTATTGAATTGGCTCTATTTGTGTATTCACACATTTACACTAATTCAAAGAATATATAGCCTTTTGAATATTCAATTGGCACCAAGTGCTTACATTTTGGATTACTCGGGAAAATATTGGAATAACTCATCTCTTTGCCACACTAATGCTATGGTGCATGAAAATCAGAAACTTCTATGACCACCGCTTCTGCTTGATTTTTTGGTCTCTGCCACGTTATTCTCCTGCTTTCATCTTTTGATATCGGTATCTTTCTAGTGTTTAACAAAAATGACACCCAACAACGATGAAAAAGTATTGAGCTAGTGAAAGAACTTTGAAAGAGAGATCTTATTTTTTGTGGAACATAAGATAATTTAATGAACCAAATTTAAAAAATGTTTAGATGCTTACTTATTCCCAGTTCGAACTGTTGCTGCTTTTCTTCATACCGTCGTTGGTTCCTTTTCAGGGTGTGGTGCACAAAATCGAGAATAAGATACGCAGTGGCCCATCCGACCAACTTTTTTTACGTTTATCATTCCCATGAGACTCGATGCTTTTGCATATCAACACAAACCAATAAATTAGAGTGATGCTGGTACAATGAGCAAAACAACCTGATGAATACAATATAGGTCAGATCGACTTCGGAAACACAAAATATATGGGCAATATAAATTATCTGATGGGATTTAAAATTGAGAGATATGAGAAACCACAAGAGATGAATATGAGATCGTGGCTTTGTGGGAGGCGACCGGTTTTAAATAGAGTTTTGTAGCATAACGTTTTTAAGAGGAGCTGAGGAGGCGTTTGTCGTTTTTTTTTGGAAGACGCTGATGTGACATCATTTTAGAACAGTTTTGTTTGGCTGATGTGGACACCTCTAGGAGCCTCAAATATATACTTTTATTAGAGTAGATTATATCATTGTTATTAAATGTTTATTTCTAGAAACAGCCGTTTTGATTTTTTTTTCTTATTAAACGAATAAGTTAAAACGTGGATACACTATTATAATAACTTTGTGGTCTAATCCTCGTGAGTAACCATGTCATAATAACCATGTGATCTAATCCTCGTGACTAACCATGATATTTGAGTCTCTTTTGTCTTTGTTAATAATCAAGGCAGGCCCGAGATTTTTTCGAAGTGTTCGAACTAAAAATACTTGTCTAAACACTTTGTAAAATAACTATAAATATTTATTGTTTTAGTTAACTGCCTAATTGTTTATTAGTTTTTTTTTTATCTGTTGTTATGAAAAAAAAATATATATATCAAAATAAAGTAATCTATAGAAAAATTAATAAAATATTACTTAATCCTTTTGGCTGCTCATTTTCCAATTATTATAAATTTCTATATGAAACGTTTAGTTCATTTTTGTGATATCCCGATTTCCGATTATGTGAAAAAACTTATAAGAATTGATTTAGTTACCTATGTCAACAAAATGCACTTATCTTTTCCGATCAAGTGTGCTGAGAGAACTCTAGAGTTAAGCGTGCTTAAGCCTGAGTAGTCTCAGGATGGATGACCTACTGGGAAGTAGTCTGCGGTACCGTGCGAGTGAGGACAAAGCACGGAGAAAGATCATGTTGTGATTGCAGGAACAGTAGACAATTCGTACAAGCCTCCCGGACCAAGCGACTCCGGATCGTCGGACAGGGATGGGCCCATGCGCCTAGAAAGAGGCCAACCGTCAGACAGTGGTGGGCCAACGGGCCTAAAAGATAAGGCGTTGGGCTCACTGGTAGGGGCAGTTGGTGGGCCAACGGACCAAGAGAGAGGAAGTTGGGCCCCAGATTATACGGCGTTGGGCTCATTGGTAGAGGCGGTTAGGGGCGTTCAGAGTTGATAGCCAATCCAGATGAAAGGCGATTCGGGGTCTCATGGATTTGATAGCCGGCCCGTCTGGTTCCTGGTAGGGAAGAAGGGAGCGGGGTCTTACAATTGGTATCAGAGCCAAGGCTCGCCAACCGGCTCTGACCCGGGTGGCGTCTTGGGACGTGGTTGAGAATTCAAGGACGAATTCTTTGGAAGTCGGGGGAGAATTGTGACATCCCAATTTCCGGTATATGTGAAAAGGCTTATAAGAATTGATTTGGCTACCTATGTCAACAAAGTGCACTTATCTTTTCTGGTCAAGTGTGCTGAGAGAACTCAAGAGTTAAGCGTGCTTAAGCTGGAGTACTCTCAGGATGGGTGACCTACCAGGAAGTAGTCTGCGGTACCGTGCGAATGAGGACAAAGCACGGGAAAAGATCATGTGATGATTGCAGGGACAGTAGACAATTCTTACGAACCCCCCGGACCAAGCGACTCTCGACCGTCGAACAGGGGTGGGCCCATGGGCCTAAAAAGAGGCCAACCGTCAGACAGTGGTGGGCCAACGGGCCTAAGAGATAAGGCGTTGGGCTCACTGGTAGGGGCGGTTGGCGGGCCAACGGACCTAGAGAGAGGACGTTGGACCCTAGATTATACGGCGTTGGGCTCACTGGTAGGGACGGTTAGGGGCGTTCAGAGTTGATAGCCAATCCAGATGAAAGGCGGATTCGGGTCTCATGGATTTGATAGGCGGTCTGTCTGGTTCCCGGTAGGGAAGAAGGGAGCGGGGTCTCACAGTTTTATTCTTGTCAAACATGGATATTATCGGTTTAAACTGCAACAAAATTAGTACATACATTATATATCACTGTTATCAGATTTTTATTTTTAAAATAGCCATTTTTATTATATTTTCAATTAAAAGAAACACTTAATATTTGGGGAGATTTGGTTTAATATTCTGAAATTTTTTTATATTTTGAAAACTAACCTCTATTTTAAAAAAATTGAAAACTAACCTTTTGAATTTAAAATTACCAAATATCCCTAATATATTAAACACATAGACATTGTTTTAAATCTATTATTTCAATTTAATTATTTGAACTTCAAGTATGATATCATTCAAAACTCTAGTGATATTAGTGATTCAAAGCAAGAAATCCAGGAAACCAGCGAGTTTGCTTCGTGGTACAGAGGGAGAACTGATGATGAGCTTCAAGAGATTGAATTTCGACTAAGTAAACTCGAACACAAGGCTAAAGAAACTGATTCAAACATGAGTTATCTCTCGGACTCCCAGGAAGCTACAAACTCTTTTGTAAAGAAGATCTTTGAGAATCATTAGAAAGATTCTCTTGTTCATAATTGTGTGAGGTAAAACCCGGAGAATCAAAACTTGTTAAGCATTTAAGAGGGAATTGAAGCTTCTAGGGTTTTATCGCAAGAACACAAGATCGAAAAAAGGTTTTTTTTTTATTATTGCTGGTGAAGTCTTAAGTCTGTGCGCTTAGGGTTGCAAAAAGATACATTGTGAATGTAATACATCGGTTATTTATACAAGCTCTTTAACCGCCTAGCCGAGAATCTCGAGAAAGATTCGCGGAAAATTTCCTTATCTCTTTACACGGTCGCCGCCTCAGATTTTTACCTAGTCGAAGATGTTTCACTTGCTCCGATGGGCTTCACATCTTCACAGTTTGACTTTCTCGGCCTTTGGCTCGGCCCACACAGATTGATTGGGCTAAGGCTCGGCCCAATCTTTCTCTTCGCATGGCTCGACCCGGTCTCTCCCTTCACAGGGCTCGACCCTCTTTTGGCATAACTCGACTCATTTCTTGATGTGGCTTGAATAAACCGAACCATAGCTCGGTTTGGTTTGGTTATCTTGCTTGGCTCGACAAATTTGGTTGAAAACCATTTATTGGGCTTGACTCGCTTACTAAGAGTGGGCTTGGTGAAACCCAGTTCTAATACTTCGTTGTTTTATGAGAGTTAAAATCAAGGGGGTGGAATCCAACCCCAACAATAATCAAGAAAAAGAGGAGTCACCTAACCTAGTTTCAGAAAACCCCTGGAATAGACGTGCATAACTACATTGAAGGTGTCCGAGAAAAGGAAGAAGAATGATTGGCCATGGCAAGCCTAGAATCCTCCACCGTGGCCGTGCACGCTTCACCTGCAGTGGAAGTACATCTGGCTGCTGTTGCACACCTTTCAACCGTGGTATACTGCCTCTCTGCCTCACATTGAAACCTGTAACTAGTTCTGAGCTCCCTCCGATCCCGCCAACATTCTAGTATCTGAAGTTCACCCACTGGGTAGAGCAACTCGAAGCAGAGAAGACCGAATTCCTGATGATGATCAAGATTCAGAAGAGCACATCCCTCATGCTCTATGCAAGATAATCATGGGATATGATGAAAACGCAACAAACCCCACAGGCCAAACGGATCTGACACATAGAAGGATTGAAATGCCATACATATATTCATACATGTGCCTTGATGTTGCAGACTCCTATTGTGAATCGTACTCAGTGTTTGAAACATCTACACACGCCAAGGAAGGAAAACCAATCCGAACTCTACATAAAATCCAAGACCAAGGTCGATTTCTTATCTCTTGTGGAATTAGAGGTGAAAGATTTACTAAAGTTTTTTGTGATTGTCTCAACATTATGTCCAAAGCAACTGCTTTGAGGCTTGGTATTAGGCACATTTACAGGACTAGAACAAAGATCAACCTTGTTGATGAATCAAGTGTAACACCATGAGGAGTAGCTCGTGACATACCTTTGCATTCTGTATTTTTCATTAATGTTTTTCCAATTTTTTTTTCAAATTTTCAAAGTGTTTTAAAAGTATAAATACGATTTGAGGGAATGATGACAAAAATCTATGATGAAATCGACCTGTTTGCTTCTACACCATTTCCTAGTAACATGCTCTGTCACAATCTGGTTATAGACTAGGCGGTAGCTAGAGCATTTGTGATACAAAGAACCCGAGAAGAAATTAAATGGTCTAGATTCTCGAGTGTAAAATATGCTAGCTCTGTTTTATTTGGACTTAATATTGACTTAATTTCTCATTAAATGTGTTAGGCCAGGGAAACGAATCATACATTCAGGACTTCTTATCTTTTTTACATTTCTTTGATGATCCTCAATGGCTAGCTCATCTTTAGCTAGTTATCCACCTTATCCTATCTCTTTCAAACCTCATGCACTCTCTTTTTCTATTGTCTGATGTACAGATATATGAAAAAATGTCGGAGAGAAAAGGAACAACACAATTTTTCAGTTACAGAAGATGAAGACTGTACTTTATTGGTGGAGGAGATTCCCAAGAGCATCATTTAATCCTGGAAGCTAAAAAACATGGTAATTTCTGGACCTTAGACTCTTTCTTTATCAAAAATGCACTTCCCCCTTTCAAAAAAAAAAGAAAAGAAAAAAATAGAAAGAAAATTGCCTAAAAAATAAGGGTTTATCATGAGTTCCAAAGGTTCTATGGATCATCATTAGAAAGAGTTGGAGTTTTTCTTATTGAGTCCCAAAGAAAGATCTAAGTCTGGAGGAGTTACAAAGAAGATATCAAAGAAAGAGAGATGTGAAACACTTAGATAACAAGAAGAAGTGACGGGAAGATGTGAATATCAACAGGTTCATTCTCTCTTGCGTTTTTGCATAATATCTTTCATTCTCCTCAGCTTAAAAGTAACCTTAAAAATTTGAGCTCCACCACTTAAATAACCCTTTCATCACCAAATGCCGTCTACCCTGGATGACATGTTTATTGAGAATTCATGCCTAAATTAATAAATGTAGAGACATAGTTGCCCAGAATTGAGATTTAGATTGCTTAGATTTTGCGTGACAGATCCATGGATTAGTGTCATACTTGCTTTAGTGATAATTTTCTATGCTAGGTTGTGGTAGATGTACATCGATGGTTATGTTTTAGAGGTATGATCT